CCTCTGCTTTTTTTTTCCCCCCCAAAAACCCCCCCCCCCCCCCCCCCCCCCCCCATTATATACAATTATTGACTTAGTTGCATAATCTGAACTGCGGAGTGAATGATTACAGCTCAAGGCTTCTAAACTCCAAAAGGAAGTACAATCCTTTTTCATGTGAAGACTAAAGTGTCTTCCCCATAATTAGATAACAAATCCAATAGCTTGTGATCTTCTGCTATTTGTTGAAAATAGGATTATCTAAAAAAGTTAGAGAATGTAAGTCAGCTGAACAACTGAACTTTTCCTAAACAAGAATTCAAGTCTCACATAGCTTCATACATGCCCTTTTCACATTTCAGCAAGTAGGCTGCTCTGGACAGTTTAAAAACTTACATTCTTTTATTCTGCATGTTTAACCTCCTACTCATGCACGTGCCAATAACTGAGCCAAATGGTAGTTGATGGCTACTTCAGTGGGAGAGCACTGCTGAATCAATTATCACTTAGACATTTTCTTGAGAAAGAAAATACTTGACTAAGACACTGCACCAGGCATAAGGGGAGGAATGAATAAGGACAAATTAATAAGGAAAAGATGAGAAGGACTATGCACAGGAAGGTTGAGACCGAGAAGGAGAAATGACTGCAGTGAAGTCCTGAACTAATTCTAAGCTACCAGTTTGAAGGCAGCAGCAATGTCAACCGTAAGGACACATGGACTGCAAAGCCTATCCAAGAAGCACGGTAAACTCTCCCACCCTAACTTCTGCACTAGTGCCATTGGGTTCTACCTGTACCTGCAGCCTAGACAGTGCACAGGCACTGTCAGAATAAGGAGACTGAATGTCATGTAAACAGATAAGCAAGTGAACAAAAAACTCTCCATCAGCAGTATGCACTCCAGACACTGATATGCAGCCCTTGAGTTGTATCATCATATTATTCTATTCCATCGAATTCATCTCATCTTTCCGGTTCCTTCCAGTGCATCTTCTGGAAGCTCTTGCTGCAGAAAACCAGTAAAACACTGATGGATGCAGAGCCCTGCAGAACGGACTTTAACTAGCCACCATGTCAGCATCAGTACTTCACTGCTAGAAAATCTGGAGTATGGAGACTTATTATTACAGAGATATGCTGCGGTATTCCCCCAATCCCATCTCCTCCATCTGCACAAAAGACAAACTAAGAGCAGAGAAACTGACAGAGATACTGGGGTTTTAAAGGAAGAACAGAAAAAGCTTCCAAGTCATACAAGAATAGGAAATCGGCACTGCTGTTCAAATCAATTCCCTATGAAACAAGCAGCATTTCTCAAACAAAATCTTGCAGCACCACTCTGCTAGAGACCCACAAACTGTCACCTTTCCAGCAGCCAAATGATGGATTTGAACAATGTATAGCTCAACATAACCGATATTAAATATTTCCAAATACTTAACTATTGCTAGCCATCAACTTGCCACCTTGTATTGATCATACATAAAATAAGAGACAGGTTTGAAAATTTTCTTACTATTTTAGAGAGATGAGAGAATGAAAGCTATTAGCTAGCCAGAGACAGGCAGTGTTGAACTGATAAAAAAAGACTAGGAGATGGGGCAAGCTTTTTAAGATGCAGAAAAATTTTCCTAAAGAAACTGCCTCACACAGAGAAAGAAAAAGAAATCACGGAAAGCAGATATTTTCTTCAGAGCAGCAGACATACTTCATAAGGTATAATCTGTTGACAATAAAGTTTGATTTAGTTCCTCCTCTGGTTATAAAATGAAAGCATAACAATTAGAACAGTGTAAAAGATCTACTCAGCAGTACAGATGTCCCAACTTAATCTTATCTTCTTTCATAAAATCAGCAATATCAATATTCGATGGACTTATTGCCACAGCAGGATTTGCAAGTGCTATGTCCATAAGTATCTAGGACAGAGAAGCAACAAACCACTTACTTAGTGACTTCTGTTCTCAGTTGAGAACATTATAATTGCTAAAGGTTAGTGATACAGGTAGAAAGTGAAAGTAGACAACAACAAGAAAAACTGTTTTTCAAGTCACAGTGTTTTTCTTTGGCTTTTCTCTAGGGGAACGTTCCGTGCTGTTCTCAACGGAAGATCAGCCTGGTTCATCGCCAAGATGGTGGGAAGGGAGCATATTATGTCACGTCAAGTTCTCCCAGCTGCACTTCATGTCACGGTCAAACTAGTGGAGATCTGGCATTTTGAGTAAGAGCTACGTTTTCCATTCTGCAGCTAGAGAAGGGGTAAAAACCTCGGCTCAGGACAGCTTCAGTTTCCACTGAAATCCAGATTAAATGAATGTGGCACAAACAGTATCATCCCTTGGGATAACATTATATGTGAAACAGTTGGTCCACGAGTGACATATTTTCACAGCAACACCTGGTGTAATTTGGCACAGTTCAATTTACAGCGTGTATTACAACGTGACAACCATATACGTTCCCTGTTTAGAAAGTAGGTCACCTCCACAGGCTGAGAAAAACGTGGATTTCGACGGGCACACAACCCACTATCAAAGACTTAAGCGTCACAAGGTCTTCTTTAGTTATTTTTTGGAAGGTGAAACCGCAAGCGACCGCCCAACGCCACGCCAGAAAGCCTTTACCAACAGAAGCTGCATACAACTTATCTCGGTATGACCGCTCTGGCTAACCCAGGAAGCTACTGCAAACATTTGTGAGCCACGGGAAACGATCAGGAAGGAAAGAAACACCATCCCCACCACAAGCATCTGTCCCTCCTGCCCGCTTCGTGCAAGAAAAGAAAGGCAAGCCCGCCCGCCTGCCCGCCGCCTCCCTCCCACGCTGGGGGCACCGGAGGCGGCTCCCCAGAGGGGGTAAAAGATAAAGGGTTGGAAGAGCCACTCTCCCACCCCAGACAACCTCCGACAACTACGGAGAGGGCGGTGGGAGGAAAAAGGTCACGGCGACAGCCCACCCCCGCAGGCCTGCCCGGAGGAGGAGCGGCACTCGGCCCGGGGAAGGGGCGCGGCGACCGCCCGGCTCCCCGCGCAGGGCAGGGTCCGGGAGGGGAGCTGGGGAGGGTGACCTCGCTCAGCTCCCACGGCTGCTGCTGCTTCTTCTTCTTCTTCCTCCTCCTCCTCTTCGTCTTCCTCCTCCTCCTCCTCCCTCCCTTCCTTCCTCCCTTTCCCGGCGGGGGTGCAGCTTCTTCTTTTTCTCTGTGACCTCCAATGTTATGCTTGACTTGGAGTGGTCAAATGTC